CTTTCGATATCTGTTAGGCCCATTCTGTCTAATATATGATTCAAGTCCAATGTTTGCTTGTAATTTTCTGCCTGGACGATCTATTCATTGCTGAAAGTGGAGTACTGAAGTCCCATACTATTATTGTATTGTTTTCTATTTCTCCCTTCAGATCTATTAGTATTTTCTAATATATTTAGGTGCTCTGATGTTGGGTACATATATATTTATGATTGTTATATCTTCTTGATGAATTGAACCTTTTATCATTATAATGGCCTTGTCTCTTTTTACTGTTTTCACTTACAGTCTATTTTGGCTGATAGAAGTATAGCTACCCTCACTTTCTTTTATATACCACATTTTGTTTATTCATTCAACCGACAGTGGATATTTGGGTTGTTTCCACCTTTTGGCTATTGTGATTAGTGCTGTTATGAATGGTAATATACAAATATCTGTTGAAGTAGTGAGGATTTTTTTTCATTCTTTATCATAAATCTATTCATTAAGCTTATACAATGTCCAAATTAGTAGCACTGGAAATGTTGTTTCACTGGAAAACCCCCACTCAAGATCTTTGGTTTGGGGGGAAAAGTCTCTCTTTCTATTGGGTCGTCGGGAAAGTCATGATGCATTTTTGCATTGAAAAACAGAAAAATATATCACGACTTTCCCAATGACCCAATAGTTATATTTTCTGAGAAACTAGGAAACTACTTTGTTTTCTTTCATTGAAAAACTATTCTAGATATTCATGTTATATTAGACCTTATCACCATTTAATATCTCAAGTATTACTTTTTTTTGTTTATCACTACCTTCAACGCCCTCTACTCACTAACCCCTCCAGAATGTAAATTCCATAACACATGGATTTTGGGGAGTTGTTTTGTTAACTGCTGTACTCTTGGTGTTTAGAACTGTGCCTGCTACATAGTAGGCAGTCAATAAGATCTGTTGAAGGAATGAATGGTGCTTGAATATTACCCATCTCTATGTTTAATGGGTATCATTTTTAAAGGCTCTATATTTGGCTTTTTTTAAACTTTTCAGTATTTGTTTTCCTGCATTCTACAAGGATCTGTTTATAAGTGTTATAGATCTTATAAGTGGTTGGAGACAAGGTATGAAAAATAATTATGTTGTATTAGGAGATGAAAGAAGACAGAAATGGACTAGAGAAAATATATAAATGGAATTTTGTCTCCCTTTAATTTGACTGTATTGTTCTCAAAGTGGTATTATGTAAAACATCAAAAATACTTCTACATTGATAACTTGGATTTAGGAAGAAATAATAAAGAATCCCTTGACCTTAACAGTGGAGATTAAATGGCACAACTATTATCAAAAAGGTACAAACTAAATCATCATTTTCTAAATTAAGAGCACTTCATTGTTTCCACTCAGTGCAACTATTTCTTGATTTGTATTGTAATCGACCTAGACTCTACTTTAGCAGAAGCTCAGTCTTTTTGTCTGAGACACAAATTAGAGTTTTTAAAATAGCAAGAACTTTAAAATATTACTATAAGGCAGAGGACCTGGTGCTTTTTTTTGTAAGCAAGGAAATTTGACTCTCAGAGGTAAGATGATGTCCGGAAGCATTTTTTTTTTTTTTTGCTTCTGTCTTTGTTGGAGTCATTTACCTTGTCTTGGATTTTAGTAAGGATATAATCTCAGTTCGAGATAGAAAGGGCGATCACAATGCCAGGTGTCAAAGGCACAAAGCAATCCTCTCCTTAATTGCTGGAGTTTAACACGTCCCCATGTTTGCCCCAGAAAACTCTAAGCGCTCTTTTATTAGCAATGGGGGATTAAATTTCCTATGGAGACAAATTAACTTCTAAATTATAAGAGAAACAAACAAAAACACCGAGAGAGAGAGACAGAGAGAGAGAGAGAGAGAGAGAGAGAGAGAGAGAACCCCTTATTTCAACCTGAAGCTTTCTAAAAGTAATTTCTCCTTTCCCTTCTGCTTATTTTCCACATATTTTTGTTTTCCTGTTTGAACTTACAGTCTAGTTATTGCCTTCTCTGAAGTAGATTTTGGTCAGCAACCTAGTTAAAGTGGAAGAGGTCAAAATAGACTATTGAAATGAAGAGTGTTTTAAGCCATGTAGCTATTATATTTGGGCAATTCTTAAAAGGGGGGAAGAAACTCTTTAGAGAGATTTAAAACTTTATTTTGTTTCACAATAAAAGACTTAAAAATATAATAAAAAGATGTGAATTGGCTTAGAGTAAAAAGACAAATTAGTAGACTAAGAAGGAAAAGAATATATTTTATAGATGAGCCAAATTCATGGCCTTGTGCACCAAATTTTACACACTAAAATCCACCTGACAGTGAGTTTAAAGTTTAATATCTTCCTGTTGTCCAAACTTGGTGATTGCAAATCCTGGTTTCTCACATACGACATCTCCACCTCACCCTCAGCCCATCTCCAATTATCTCAGAAGTGACAAAACAATTTCCAAATAAGTTTAATTTTGATTTAAAAATATACCCATATATCTACCTTATTATTTTTTTGCTTGATGGAAAGGGAGAATGAGGCAGAGAAGACAAAATTGTAAAAGAAAAAAAAAAGTGAATGAGGAGCATCCTTATCTGTTTTAAGCTGACAAGTTAAAACACCTTGTGTATAATGCAGAGAAACGCTGTGTCTGACTTCTCTTGCATTCATACTGCCCCCTGTGCTTGGGAAAGACCAGATGTTTGGTTAGAGTATTAGGCTTTTCCCTTAGTACTTGGTAAAATTTATTTTCTGAAGTTTGGAGAAAAACTGCAGCTCCTTCTGATCCTTAGCATTTTACAGTTTAATAATTTCATATATTAGAAGTGTTTCAGCAGAAAATGAGCTTTGAATATTTATGCTTTTGCAACAATCCAAGAAAGTCTGTGGAAACAAATTCTTGAAGGCTGTGGAAACAAATTCTTGAAACGACCTTTATTTTGAAAAACCATTATTCTAAAAAAATTACGGATTCATAGTTTTCATGAAGATTAGTATGTATAATGGCAGCGTATGGAAAAGGGACTAAATTAGGGGGGAAGGTAGAGTAGATGACATTTCTTTTTCCTTGTCTAATTCCTACTAATTGTGTACAAAAATATACATTATATGGTATTTCTCCCCTCCTTAATAGAACAATATTTGGAAGTTCCTATGTAAAGCTAATTTGCCATGAGGAATAGAAAGACTTTTAATGGGGTGTCCAAGTCCCTATAGGAACCATGTGGTGCAATCTGTTACAGTTTACAAGGAGGGGAAGGGTGGAGAGATCCCTGTGAGGCTAGAGAGTAGAGTCATCTCTGGGAGTTTTTGAGGTATTAACTAGAATTAGAGAAAAATGGTACAGCTGAAACCTAGGATACCTTACCTTCTGCCCTAAATCATAACCCAGGGTATATTAAACTTATGCTCTCTTTAAAAACTATTTAGCAAGTTATTCAGAGTAGGGGAGAAAAAAACCTGAACCTTTTTTGGGTTACATTACTATTCGTTTTGTATTTTAATCTAACCTACTGGTGATTTAATTTACTCAAAGGAAGTGTATGCTCAAATATTTGAGGACGTTAACGTATCAACCACTGTTTAATTTTGGAATGTGCCTACTTGCTTGACACAATATTTTACCATCTCAACAAATGTTTAGCCTTTTTTTCACTTGACTAAAGAGAAATAAGTTTCACATTGCTTCATTCACCTTCTTATGTGCATATGCTGGGAAAGATTGGATGTTAAAAAAAAAAACTTCCTCATGTTCCTTTCTACTATATCTAAATCTGTTTACCAATTCAAAGCTGCTAAAAAGCCCTGCATTCTCCTGCTAAATCAACTGGATGGCTAGAAACCAAACTGTAATGTAACAGGGAAAAAAATTATCAATTTATTTTCGTGACAACATTCTTGAGAAGGTATAACATTTTTCTGGTCTCTTTGCCAGTTTTCTTTTTCTTCCTTTCTCTGTCTTCCTTTTTTTTTTAAGAGGCTTTCAGCGTTTAAGCTGATACTCTTTATATAACAGTTCTAATATTTTGTGACATTTTGTATTGTGACACTATAGATGAAATTGTCATTGGGCTGACACTCTGTAGTGTTTATTCCTTAATTACAACTGTTAACACTGTAGAGAAGTGTGCTAATCTGCCAGTGCATATTATGAAAACAACGTTATTGTTACCCACACCAGCACCCACTCAACAGGATATTTCCAAGATGGTAGTTTAAAGGAACTTATCAGTACAATGGACGTTTCGGTATAGTTGGTGTGGGGTTTTTTTTTTTTTAGCTTGTCCTATTGTCTTCTTTGAAAAACATAAACTAGTTTGAAATATAAAATCTTTCATTGTAACATAGCCTAGACTCCCTTTACTAGCAGGAGCTGCCTCTATAGTTAGAAAGATGATGAATTTTTTCAAGTGCTCAAGCAGCAGTGGACTGAGGAATCTTAAAGCGGTTTAGGGTTGTGACCCAAAGCTTTCTGACTGACAATTGTTTCAGAAATACTGAAAGTAGAAGGGAGAGGGAAGGGCAAGTTTAAAGATGAGAGAGGAGTTATTTGCACTCACAGGATTGGCAATCCTTAAATAACCAAGTCAAAATCCAATAACCATTCCTAGCTCTACTAGGTATCCTTTTTCAGAACCAAGTCTGAGCCCTGCTGAAACTGGCTACTTACAGAATGCTTTATAGTTAGGGAAGTTCTTGCCTGCAGAACTTTTAGAGGCTTGATTATCTATGATGGACAAAATCCTATGAATCTATTTTCTGATAAGTATTACTATGCTAAAGCAGTTAAGGGTCACTGTCTTTTCATTTGTTAAAAAAACTATAATAGTGAGCAAACAACCACTTTGATTCTGTGACTTGCTCCCATAATAAAATAACTGAAAAGTAAAGATTCTAGAAAATATAAAATCAGAGCTAGCAATGGGTATTCACTGTTTAGCTGAGAATGACTAAATGATTTTTAAAAACAACACATACAACATTCATTTAGCAATTTATTTAATAAACAGTCCACTTTTCAATAATAGTTTTTAACATTTCCATGAGTTGGGTAGAAAGCAAATTCATGACCTTGAAATAGGAGTAGGTCTCTAAGTGATAACCTGAGACTGGCCATTAGATTCTCACATCTTCATTGTCATTGAGGAGGTAACGGGACAGTATGAATATATTCGATTCCTAAAATTCCTGCAATGACCTGCATATACTTTAACATTCAGCTTTACTAAACAGATTTTTTGAAATAGTGTGTGAAGAAGTTATCGCTGTGCCTTGTTTCCAATGGTATTTTCTGCTTCATTTTGATTTTCAACACCGATAGGATATGGTGCTCTTCCTAAAAGAAACTGTTCCCATTTGGGAATATATTCTTCTACTGATGCCCAGTAAAGAGTCTGGAAAAAAAAAAAACATCCAAAGTAAAAAAGCATATCAAGCAATTGAACTTGGCTCTTCATAATAGTCTAAATGTTTATTCACTTGAGTGTGTGTGTGTGCGTGTACACACACACACACACACACACACACACACACACACACACATATATGTGGAATGCACTTCCTCTACAGAATATTTTATGTTAATTTTAGAAAAAAATCTGGCTACTTACTAGTGTTAATTTTCAAATTTCTCAGTAAAACCAGAGTCTGGCAGAATTACAGGTTTTAGAATTTTAATGTGACTCTATACGCCCTCTTGTGGCCAACCTTGCATTATTATCAGTATTATCATTTATGGCCGCACAACCTTGAACTGTTTTTGTTTAATGTTCCAAATCTCATACCAAATGATTACCCATATTTAAATTATTATTATAAAATGTTTAACATGAACAACTGCTTTAAAACTAACATAACAAGATCCGACCTGGGATGAGATCAGGAACTGAACTATATAACTGGTATGTTATTGTATAAGGTTCAGGTGAATTGACCCCTTAATTGTATGGGAAAAACATTTAATAATGTATCTACTATATCTTTTAGAACAGTATTTGATATGACAAATTTTAATTTCTTCCCAATTTTTTCTGTATAATGAGGAAATAATATCAAGATTATCTAACCATTTTTAATTCAAATAACTTGGAAGCTGAGATGCTGTATTATTGGCCTGACTGTAGCAGTCTATAAGTTATAGAAGCACGTGCAACCTCACCATATCACGTCTATGAGTATTAATGGTTTCCTGGGTGACTGCACTAAGGAGGACAAAGAAAAGTAAATGTTTAACACTCTGTGTCCTAGGAGGGCATTTTATATTAGATTATCATTATCAATCTCATTTTGGGAAAGTCAGCCAAAGAGTTAGCTAGCATTAAGAACACATCATTATTCACTCTGAGCATTAAGAAGGTACAGGCGTTCTGAAAGTTGAAAATGGTGAGGGGTTCTACATATCTATACATCGATGCATGTGGCCTGAGAAACAGCCTGACATACTTAAAATAAAGGTCATCCTGCTGTGCAAGACTAGAGAAGAAAAATACCCACGGCAGCCTGTGGTTGGGAGTTTCTCTACCATTCACGGCTGGATTAACCCCTATTGTGAGGGCCCTGTACGGGCCAGAGTAAGATATTGGAGAATTCAACAAAGAAAAAGCCATGCCCAGGGCACAACTTTGTACCCGAGTTTTTTCTATCCTTGATCACTGGCTTTTCTTATTACTCGAGATGACACAGAAAATTGCAGGGCAAATTCTCAGCCTTTAATCTTGAGTCTATTCACATCCCTGGGTAGGCAGCAAGCAAAACTGGATTCAAAAAAGGTCATTAAAAATATGAAATCAAACTATTCTATATGTAGTAAATTCCCTTTCATCAAAATACGTTTATATGCCAAATATAGTTTATTTTGCCAGCCATCTTCCCAATCTGTTCTTGAACTGAGCAAAATAAAACAGACAAAAGCCACACTGTACCACATATCACGTATTTAAGTAGCATTGGTTCACTTTCTGGTGAAGGGACTAAACTGCTACTTCTAGCTTCAGCCAACAGAAGAAGCACTTTGGTTAGACACGCTGTCCTCTTAAGATTTAGTGCATACTGTCTGTTATGGTTTCACAGGAGATTGTTGCTAAGTAACCAGGTGACAAGACACAAAATCTTTATAAAACTTCACTTGATAACATTTTTTTTAAATTAAGATGTTTATTAGTTACCTACTATGTACAAAGCATGGCACCATGAACATACAAAGATCAGATACAACTTGTTTATTTTACTGAATAAATCTGGGAAATACACACACATAGAACCATTGGCTGATTCACAACACACTAGTGACAGCATAAGGCCTCTTGTTTTAACCTTTGTTCCTTAGGATTCTCACCTCAAGAGAAACCACCTCAGGCGGTGGAAGTAGGTGAATCCGGGTCTGTAGAGACTTTTCAGCTGCTTCTATATCCTGTAACAGACAGCAACATTTAAAAAACAATGTGTTTACATAGCACGCACAAATGGCACCCGTAATAGCGTTATCTATATCCTAGATTTCTCACCTCAGCTCTTCTCTGGATACAGTTTGGACTGATGTAGGGGCACTGAGGCAGGAAAACTGGCCATCACTCAATTAACCAGTTTCAAATAGAGAATTCAGGGTTTCTTATTTTAAAATAAAAGGGGTGGTACTTCTAAGTTCTGCCTTTTCATTATATATAGTGAGTGCCAATAATTCTTGCAAAAAGAACTTCCTCTAAAACTGCTCCGAGCACTAACTTAGCTCTAAAATCATTAACAATGTCCAGATGGATAAACTAGATACTAAACACAGTCCGATATCCATACCCACACGGCGCTGACCTTCAAAGTGAAGAGATCTAGTCCATCCAGATCATGCAAATGATACATTAACGACACACATTTCATTTGTTCAGTATCCCCCTGTTAAATTTTATACTTAGGCAAATACTCCACATATTTAAAAGGTCAATAAGGTACCTCAGTACTTTTCAACAAGCACCTTTTCACTATACTAAATGTTTATAGTACTAGATTTCTAAGGTAATCTCAATGGCAAGTTTTATTGCTAAGCAGTGTATCATTCAGCTAATGGCGTTCAAGCCCCGTGCTTTAATTTGAAGCTTATTTTGTAGATGTGTGTATTTTCTCTTACGGTTTTAGAAACATAGGGTAATTAAACTTAATTCATAATCTGCTGAAGACGTTACCTTGATACACGTGTGAAGTACACGCCCAGATATGTAGGCCTCTCCAAGTTGTTACCGAAACATCTCTGTCCTGTTCATGAATGTTCCCTAAATCAGTGTTTATGTGTTGTCATGTGCTTATGTTTGTCAGGTTCAGAGAGGCCCTGGTTGAAGGCTGTGTGAATTTTGTCTCTCCTTGGAGCTTAGTGAATTGATAGAAAAGAGAAAGTCCTTGATGCATGTACAAGCATTGGAGCAATCTAAGTACGGGGCTGTTGGACAGACGGAGAGAGATGGAAAAGGGCGTGGGAGTGGGGTGTGAAGAAGCCAGTGCTGAACAGGAGAAAAGGGAGAGCAGATGGTAGCGGCGGGAGCGAGGAAGGGGTGTGAAATGCAAAAGGGAAAAACAGGAAATTCCCTAAAGGGACTCCCCAAAGTTGCACAACCATTAATGCACCTGCTGTCTAGAGGAAGGTGATTCGAAGGGAGAAAACATCAATGTAGGGATAAAAAGCCCATCTATTAGCATGTGTCTCCTATACTAGACGTTTACGTCTAAGACACATGATAAGGAGCTTTCGATGTCGATACTACAACAGAGAAGACTACTTCTTCAGTGATTACATTGAGATTTTTGCCAAGGTCCTAGAAAAATTATTTTTTACTTTTCTAAAACAAATAGAATAAAATCACACGCCCAATTATACCATGATTTTAAGAAGTTAGAGGTTTTTTTTTTAATGGTAGATCTGGGTGTCACCAGCACGTGTAGATAGGATTATAAACATTTTTCTTAAAGACCAGAAAATAAGGATACTGAATGTCTCTTAATAGAAGATCAGATCTGCACACGAGAGATTGAGTAGGGACACGTGGGCTGGTAAAGCAGGCCTATGGTTAGTGACGTGACTGTCATCTCTGCAGCATTTCCACAAGAGATTATCACCCCCCAGAGAAATTCTTCCTGAAGTGAGATTTCACTTCCTTAGATGTTTTGCTTACCTCTCTGACTCTTACTTCACTTTCTCCTTAGCTGGCTCCTTTTTTAGACCTTCATGCTAAGTGTGGGCTTTCTTAAGATTTGTGACATCTGTCTTCATCTTTTTACTTTTTCTTCCTCCAAAACTGTCTCTTATCTAGCTTCAACCATTCATGTAGAAGGATGGATAACTTTTCTTCCAAGCCCTTATTTCTCAACCTAATAAAACTAAACTCATCTTCTTCTTCCTCGATGTATTGAATGTATAATAGTGGGGATTCTACTCACCCAGATACCTGTGCTATATATATCCTCTAACTTTTCTTACTCCCTGTTATTTAAAAATTCAAAGCTTCAGGATGTCTCCTCTAGCCTTTCCATGTCATTCTCACTGCTATGGCCTTATAATTATATTCATTCAACAGATTTTTACTGAAGACTTATGTGCACTTATGCCTACACTATATCGCATTTATGTTTAAAAAAAAGTTGCAATAAACACCCCTAGTGCCCAGATCGAGAGCTTTAAACATATTTCCTGCCAAAAGCATCCAGGGTTCCTTGGAGCCATGGTCAGTCCCACATCTGGGCAGCAAATGCACATGATGACCCTGGAAGGTCCCATCATACCAGAAAGAAAGGCAACTATCTGTTTAGATCATGTCAAAGACATTCAGGGGATAACTCAAAGAGGCTCCCATTTGGTAAAAACAGGACAATTTGAGCAACAAAGGAAGAAAAACTGAAATGGATTGAAACATTTCAAATCCCAGATATATTTACAAAGAAAGAACAACTTGTAATTGGTCACTTTTGGAGGATACCAGAGAACTAAACTATCATTTTGAAAACTAATTACAGAGAAAGATTCAAACACTCATCATGCATTTTCCTATACGAAATGTATTTCAACATAACTAAATAATTAATGAGGGGAAGTCGCTCTTCATACAGATAATCAGCAAGTGAATAAAAAGGAATAACAGAATTTGAATATCACTTTTTGCAACCCCTAATGAATACTTCTAGGCAATTGTGATCCGTGACTGCTAACATTCCAAAGAGAGACAGCCGGTGTTTATGAAAGTTTCTTCCCCACAACACTGAACCTGAGTCTGATCAGGCCTCCAGTTCTGAACTGGTCATGCAGAGTCCATCAGCCTCATTAGCTGAACACTTGAGATGTGTCCAAATTAAGATGTGCTGTAAGTGTAAAATACGCACTGAACCTTGACGGCTGAGTAAGAAAAAAGAATATAAAATATTTACTCTTAATAGCAATTACATTTGAAATATTTTCTATGTGATGAAATTCATTTTAGTAACATTTTATTGAATCTCTTGATTTTATTGAAAGTGGTTACTAGAAAATTTTAAATTGCATATGTGGCTCACATTATATTTCTGTTGTACAGCTTAGATTTTTCAATTTATAGGAATTCCAATGCTCAGAGGAACATACTAAATGATACCTCAGCAATGTACTTAGCAATATCCAGACTCTTGGAAATTCTATAGGGCAAAATGATCCAATTCCTTCAATAACTAAATTAAAAGGGGGAAAGGGGTGGGGGAGGGGGAACTTTTAGAGATTTAGGATATCTATCAATCAATTACAAATTGGATTGTTTTGGATCCTGATTCAAACAATTGTAAAAACATGTTTTAAGTTAATCGAAGAAATCTGAATCCTGATTGGATATTTGAGAAATTATTGTAAATTTCTTAGATTGATAATATTGTGATTTTTCTTAAAATAGTCCTTCTAGTGAAAAATTCTGAAATATATAGAGCTATATACTGAATGAAATATTTACAGATGAAACAATGCGATATCTGAAAATTAGCTTCAAAATAACCTGAGGGGCTGGTTAGAGGTGAGGAGTGCAGATGGAACAAGACTAGCTGTGTTTTGATAAGAACTGAATCGGAGTGCTAAGCATATGGAAGTACATTCTTCTATTCCCTCTTCTACGTAGGTATGACATGTTTCATAACTTAATTAAAAAACAAGTTTCCAGTGTGGATGATGGTGTAAATGTTATTCCATGGCAGGATTCAGCAGCTTGTATAGATGAGTTGACTCATGACTGGGCAAGGTAAAAGATGAGCACACACTCATGTACTGAGGTCTTCTCCCTCCCAACGCAGCAATATGTATCTCCCTATAAATATATACAGTGAACCCAGCTAGGGCTGGGCTGGGTTTAATCTTCTAATGTGCTAGAGGGGCAATTTCTGGGATAGAAAAAATAAATCACTAATAGAAAAAATAAATCACTAAAGCATGAGATACAGGGTCAGTGGGACAAGAAACATTTAAGCATTCATTAAACTTATTCTTCATTGAAATGGAGAAAGTGAGAAACGTGAGGGAGGAAAAGGAAAGATGTGGACTGTAAGTCACTGGTCATCCTGGGTGGCAGTTAGTTGGTTGAAATCTCTAACTACCAGCTGTCCCATGAAGGCTTCTGGGACATGCCTGATGGAGGCTTCTCAGTGTAGCGAGTATTCTGTAGCCCTCCTCCCATTCATTCTCACCCTGGAGTTTATCGTCTTTCTCACAAGATGACATTTGTTACCACAAAATTGCCTGTTTGGATAAAATTAAATTTTGGGAGGAGGGCCGGCCGAGTGGCTCAGTTGGTTAAGAGTGTGAGCTCTGAGCAACAGGGTCGTCGGTTGGATTCTCACATGGGCCAGTGAGCTGCGCCCGAGCTGAGCTGTCACTCAGAGCGCGTGTTCTTAGCAAGGTTGCAGGTTCGACTCCCGCATGGGATGGTGGACTACGCCCACCAGCAACTAAGATTGAAAGCGGCGACTGGACTTATAGCTGAGCTTGTGCCCTCCACAGCTAAGATTGAAGGACAACTTGACTTGGAGATGATGGGACCTGAAAAAACACAATGTTCCCGTTCCCCAATTCTCCAACACTGTTCCCCTCCCCAATTCCCCAATAAAAATCTTAAAAAAAATAATACATTTGGTGGGGAGAAAGGTGGGAGAGATGATAGTTTATATTATGGAAATATTTATAGAAACAAAATCCTCTCTTTCTCTTACAAATCCATACCAGTTATGTTTATGTTTTTATTTTTATTTATTTATTTATTTTAAAAAGATTTTTATTGGGGAATTGGGGGGATGGGAACAGTGCTGGGGAATTGGGGGAAGGGGAACAGACAAGTTGCTGTCCTTTTTGTTCTCCAGTCTAGTTGTGGAGGACGTTGCTTCACTGGCCCAAGTTGGCACCATCATTGCGCTCTTCCCGAGCAAGGCAGATCAGTCGCCGGCTTCTGGACGGCTGCTCACAGCGGCTGCTGGCTGCTCTCGCTGGCTGTTGGCTACATACAGTAGCCCATAGCAACCCACTGCCACAGGGGCTGCAGCCTATGCCGTCGCCAGCGACTCTCAACAGCCTAGCTCCAGGTTGAGCTGTTGTTCATCTTAGCTGTGGAGGGCAGTGTCACTGGCCCTCATATGTGGGATCTGAACCAGGGCCCTGTGGAGTCCCAAGCCAGCTCTTAACCATCGCGCCACTTGGCCGGCCCTATGTTTATGTTTTTAAAAGGCAGACAGGGCTGGCCTAGTGGCGCATTGGTTAAGAGCTGGCTTGGGACGCCAGCTCTGAGCAGCAGGGCCCCGGTTCGGATCCCACATTACAGCCAGTGACACTGCGCCCTCTACAGCTAAGATGGTGAACAACAGCTCGACCTGGAGCTGGGCTGCCGTGAGTCGCCAGCGATGGCGTAGGCTGCAGGGGGACTGCAGTGGGCTCCATAAGCTACAGGGGCTGGCTGGCAGCTGGAATGAGCTTTCGTAAGCTACCAAGAGCCACCGTGAGCAGCTGTCCAGTGGCCGGCGTCCGATCTGCCTCACCTGGTAAGAGCGCAATGATAATACCAATGGCAGTGAAGTGACGTCCTCCACAACTAGACTGAAGAACAAAAGGACAGGTCCCCTTCCCCTCCCCTAATTCCCCAATAAAATCTTTAAAAAAAAAAAAAGCAAATTTCATTTTATTAATACTAACAGGAAAAACTCTCTCAGCCTATTTTCAAAGTCCACTATCTGTTAGGGTATTTACTGATTTAAACACTCACTGTGAGTTTTCTTCACTACTTACATTCATATTCATTCTTTTACTAATGTGTTTGAATCTTTGATGGGACTAGTGTCTTCCTTATTGCTACTCTTTTGAAAAACACCCTTTGATATTCTTGCTAATTTATTTTTCCAAATGCATTTATAGAAATTTTACTGGCTTTGATGCACATTTTGTTGGTTTTATTAAAGCTAAAAATAATTTTGTGATCACTGGCTTTAGAAAAATAATAGTCTCCCCAATCAGGATTAATATTTTCACTGCAACGTTCATCTATAGTCGAATGATATTTCCATGCCGTTGACTGAGCGTTCGACTTTACCCCATGAGCTCAGTGTTCCAGAAAGGAAGTTTAGGAGAGCAGATGTACATTTTATCTATTTTTATATTTTTCAAGAATGAATAACAATAGGAAATTTTTATACTTTAATCATTTATTTTAATAAAATGTAGCACCTTAACTGTATTTACTTAAAAATATAAATACTGTAATTATTTCCTGTGGATTTTTGACACATTTTGGAGAACGAACTATAATAGAAATCAATTAACGCAGTGAAGAGGTTAAGGCATGTGTCTCCACTTAAGCTTTCTCTTAAATCTCCCATTGAAGTGTAATAATTCTCTTTATACCATTCATGTATAAACCTTGTCAAGAGCATTCCCAAGTATTTTACAATTTTGCTAATGTGAAAGTGATCTCTCATATTTTCCAGCTGTATGTATAGGATTGCTATTGATTTTTATATTTACCTTTTACCCATTAATTTTACTCAACTCATTATACACTAGCCTTTAAAACAGTTTTGACTTTTCTAAGTATATAACCATTTAAAAATGCTAGTGTTGTAGCTTCCTTTCCAAAAGATAAAGCTCACTCCCTTTTTTTCTTTTAATGATTTTTTGGGTTTTATTAAGAAATTTTATTGGGGAACAGTGTGTTTTTCCAGGACCCATCAGCTCCAAGTCAAGTAGTTGTCTTGAATCTACTGGGTTGTCGGAAAAGTCATGACGTATTTTTTCTGTTTTTCATTGCAAAAATGCGTCATGACTTTTCTGACAGCCCAATAGTTGTGGAGGGTGCAGCTCCTGGGCCCATATGGGAATCGAACCGGCAACCTTGGTGTTATGAGCCTGCATTCTAACCACCTGAGCTAACTGGCTGCCCAAATCTCATTTCCTTTTAAAGTTTATTATATTGGTCAGAACATCTAAATAAGGTCAAAATGGATGGGTGATAGAGAGCATCCTTATTTTGTTACTATCTTTAGAGGAATACTTCCAAGTTTTAATGAGACCATTTTTGAAGCATGTTCTATACGTGTAAGTACAGATCCTGATGTAACTTAACCTGTTCTCAACAAGGGGTATTAGGAGTATTTACTATGGTGTCCATATCTCTAAACTAAGGGGTTAGGGCAGATCGGTGGTTTTCACAGTTCCTTAGAGCCACAGCAGGGCAGGCAAGGAAGGGCTGAATAGTGGGGCTTTTGGCCAAAGCAGGTCACTTTGATCTATTTTACATCTCTATGAAAAGCTTTTATGCTGAAAAAAATAAAAACCTTTGGATGACAATCTAATCTATATGCTTTTTAAAGCCTCTCCCAATTCAAAATTCAGTAATCAAGTCCTATTCATTTTGCTTTCACAGTAACTTCTATGGTAGAGCCATTAAAGTTATTTCCAAAGTTAAAAAAAAACACATAATATGAAAAACAGGATAAAAAAATTGCATATACAATTATTCAAAATATGTAAAAAAAAGCAGGGAAATGACAGGACCTGTGACAGCAAGCATTGTGTCTGGGATGTAATAGGTGCTCAATAAATGTTTATAAAAAGACTAAGGAAATATACAAAAATATATTAATTTCTAGATAGGCAGGATGACATGGACATTATTTCATCTTTGCTCTTTGAAGTTTTTTTACAGTGAGACTATATTACTTTGATACTCAGGGAAAAACCATATCACACTACTTTCTCACGACTATGAAACTAGGTTCATTTTCTTCCTTCTGGATATGAGTGATTTTATAGCTACTATTATAACCAATATTTCCATTCTTGATATCACTTTGCATCTAAATAGCAAATGAATCCTTCTTAAATACCCATTCATATGTTTCTTACATAAGTCTCTCTTTTTCTTTTGCTCAAACATTTCCAGTACTATATTATCTCTACATATCAAGACTTAACTTGCTCATTTGGTCTCACAATACAGATCCAACCTCGTTTCCTCTAACTTCCCAAACTAGTTAGCTCATAGTCCCATGAACGTTCATAGGGCCACTCATGCTTCTGCTGTTGTCTCTTCCGTAAGAATGCAGCCTTGCCTTCTGCCTATTCAAACACAACTCCAGCTTAGCTTCCTCTCTGAGACCTCTTAGAATATTCTAGTTCTCAGAGATTTTTTTTATACTTCTCCCTATAATAGGAGTGCTGAGTATTCCACATAACTTAATGTTTGATCATATAAAGTCTCATTTTGTTTGTGACAACCTTATGTCATCAACTAAGTCTGCTAGCTATTTGATGTAAAGAACTCTGATTTATACTTATTTTGTTATCTCCACTTTCTAACCAGAACTAACTCAATAGTAAGGCTCCTCTGGGAATTTATCAAATGCCTGCTCATTAAAAGGAGGATGCTTGAAAACCAAATATTACCTGCACTTGCTGCAGGTAAGTAGTAACCAAGCCTTTCAGCCTTCTAACTTACTTTTTCTGACTTTTCACAGCAAATTCCAGATTACCCTATACATTTCCATTTAAAAATAAATATTGCAAACACCATTGGGCAAGTAAGACATATGGCAATATAGAATGCTTTGGTAGCACTATGGCTGTGACTTAAATTACTGTGGATCAAACTGCCAGAAGCTGAGAAGATAACTGAATTTTCTCTTCCTTTATCTAGTGAGGACAGAAGATAACTATATTATGCCTATCGATGAAAATATTTAACAATAAAAAACTGAAAACACTGCTTTATAACTTAAATAATATAGCCTTACTACCAAATGTTTTAGTCATAGGATCTCTTGGAAGCTTGACTGGAGGCAAACTTTTAGGGTTTTAATTATGGATGAAGCCATACAATTTTGGAAGCAAAGTACAGCAAGCAGCCAAAAATGTTACACATATGATTCTACTCCAAGTGGGCACATTGGCCAAATGGTGAGGCCCTACGCAATCACACACTTTGACCACCCCCTCCATCACCATCAATAGACATCTTGGAAAGACATCTTGGAAATCTGTTATCTTAGCTATGAATTCTATGCGTTGACTATGGCTCCAGTAGGGCAAATTCAAATTGTTTTTGTTTTTATGATGCTAAATAGTTTTGAGTTAGATCTAACTACATTATAGGTACTCTATGGTATTTCAGGATCTCCGTACAAATAGAAGATGAAAGATGGGAAGTTTCATCTCGTAATTATTACTTCTTGCCCAAAATATGACCTTAAAATTCCTTCTGTAGTCATTGATTTTCTGGTTGATTGAAAACATATAGCTTAAGCAAACTTCAGGATTTTCCTTTTAAAAAATGAGAGTCCATATGCTAATTATTTTATGGGTCTGAAAAATAGATGGTGCTTCATTAATTCCACTTATTACTCATAAAAAGACATTGCATAAGTCACAATTATGAAATTCATTTAAAACCATTTTGCAAAGGTGGGAAAAATCTCTATACTCAAGTCATGGAAACTTACTTTTAAAAGACTAAGGTTCCTTTTAAAAGCAGTCTCAGCTGCTTGAATCTGAGATGCCTTTTCCTTGTTTTGATCTCCAACTTTATTCTCCATTTGTTGAAGTAACATTAATCTTTGTGATATTCTAGAAAAAAATGAAAATTATTATATAAAGTTTTTTTAAAAAAGTAAACATTTTATTGCTTGACCAATATAAAACATTCATTTCTTAATAATATTTCACTTCAAGTTCAACCTATTTTGAAAGCCAATTATAATGTCTATTAATAAGACAGTGAAAAACTTTGGTAGTTCAATAAGTCTTAAATCTGGATAAAATTATTTTTATTTTCATTAACATATATACTATAAGTACGTGCTTCTGTCTTTAGCCTCTCTGGTCTTCTGAAATTATTTGAGTGCTGAAAATATGTTTAATTTTTGGTGAAAATGCAAACTGTAATACATATCCCTTTGTACACATACTTATATATACCTCCGCACACACATACATCGATATAACTTGCTATACGAAACCTTCTGCTTAACACTTCAATACCCCTGAATCTCATGTTACACATTTAGAATTGTGCTAAACTTCCATATGTTTAAAGGGCAATATAAATATTTTTTCCTCCTTTTTTTTCCCCAGAGAAAGATGATGGCTCCATATTTGAGTGAGACACTGTGTATACGTATATATACTCACAACGAGGTAAAAGTAATTAAAGAAAGATGTAAAAACTTGTGAGCAAGTTATCAAACTACTTTATTATATATAATATACTTTAAAAGTCACTGGTTAAATGCTCATTTTACAAGTTTTTGGTCCTCTTAAATGATTAATATGTAAATAGGTCCAATGATTAAAAAAAAAAAAGATGTAAGTGGTATATATGACAGTCTAACCATTTTCCAAATAGTTGTTGAGATTATCGAGAAACACTATGTTTCAGGACAGCTGGGTGGTTCAGCTGGTTAGAGCGCATGCTCTGAGCAACAGGGTTGCTGGTCGACTCCCGCATGGGATGGTGGGCTGCACCCCCTGCAACTATAATAGATTGAAAACGGCCACTGAACTTAGAGCTGAGCTGCACCCTCCACAACTAAGACTGAAGGACAACTACCTGACTTGGAGCTGATGGGTCCTGGGAAACACACATTGTTCCCTGAAAAAACACACTGTTCCCCAATAAAATTTAAAAATTATCACTGATAATCTTTAAAAAAACCCCACTATGTTTCATAGGGCTGTTATTGAGAGTAGAACTAAAATTGTGACATTTGAGCAATCACTTTTGTATAGAAATTATCTTAGCAGGCCAAGGAAGAGGTCCTGGTAATTAGAGAAAAGGAAAACATGACAGTCCACAGACAGAGGTGGAGACGGGTTAATACTAAATATAAGCGTAAGACTGGCTATATACTTTGCAGGGCCCAATACAAAATAAAAATGTGGGGCCCCTTGTTAAAAATTATTAGAAATTTCAAAACTGCGATATTAGAGCATTAAACCAAGTACAGGGCCTATGGGTGCACAGGTGTAGTACCCATGAAGCTGGGTAAGAGGCTTAGAGAAGTCCATTAAATATCAGTGTGTAGCTTAGAAAGGGTAATATCAGTAACAAAAAGTAAAAAGATATAGAACATAAGAACATAATTATACCTTTTAATCTTTGTTATTCTTAAGAGACAGTGACATTCTCTAACACCAAATCTTGTGTCAGAAAATTTAAATGACAAACTTTCGATTTTTAAGTCTTCCTGTGCACATGTTTCACTAATAAAGCCAGTATAATTTATTCATTTAGATTAGCCTTTTTAAAAAAAACTTACATTTCTTCATGTCTTTTAGAAAGGCGAATTTCTTGAGCAAACAAGGAAGTCATCTTTAGTTGAAGCTGCCTTATAAGCTTTCTGCTAAGTAATAAAAACATTTGAAGTTAGTTATACCACATGTCCTCAGCTTTGTAATATTTGATCATTTTAGTACCTCAGCCTGTTGGTTCTCTCAGAAGAGAAAAATAAAACTTGAGATGTAATAATGTATGAAATGAAAGAATGCATTTAAATACATTTTTATTTGCGATGAATAGTTCTTCTTAGGCCAGATGCACCCAAGAATAGCATGAATCAGGTAAACTCAACATGTTTCACATTTTCCCTTCTTTTTCCCCCACATTTTAACCTTAACCAGAATTCAAAACAAACAAGCAGCTGGTACTAAGTCTATTAAATATTTTATTGAATCAACAGAAAAAAAATCCACTCTGTAAAATTCAGCACAGGAACACCATCGCTCACGCATATGCACACACACAGACAGAAAGGCAAACAAGTATGAGAACCAACTGAAAATTCATGGTCTTTCCTTTATTGGAAGATTGCCCAGTCCTACCATCTCTTTTCCAAATAAAAAAGTCTTTTTCATGTGTAATTGTGGGGGAAAGCACAGTTCGTCCCTTCACCTGACCCTGGCCGCTCAGGACTCTCATTGGGAAAGTTGAGGGAGGAAAGCCCATTTTCATGGCACATGAGCAAGCTCACCCTGGCTGAAGAGAGAGGTCTAGTGAACGGCTCTGAAGACTCGGAGCATGAAGGCAAATCATCTGCTTGGGTGCACAAGTTGACGGTGCCTGCTGTAAGGGGAAACAAAACAGAAATGAAATTCCTTCCTAGAATGAAGCACTGGCTTTTCTAAATTGTATGAACTTAAATACTGACATCTAATCGCCTGAGTGTCCAGCGCTGATGGGAAGATTGAGCTCTTCCTTCAGCACACACGTACTGAGAGGAGGGCTCTGAGCCCAGCCACCTAATTAGAGACATCCCCCTGCCCTCATCGTGTTTCTTCCTCTAGGCACTGGGGTCTTGTCTTCAGCACCACGGACAGCAGTCGCTCATGGGGTCCCCAGCAAGTATCGAGTTACAGGTATTTTCCGCTAAAATCAATGCAGGCCAATCGTCGCTTCTTTCCTCCCGGTTTCCATCGCAGCGCCAAGGAAATCCCAGGAAGGGAGTCCGTGGTAACTTCTTTTCTGTTACGCCTGCCATTAGCACTTCAGACTAACCTCACAACAAATCCTGCCTTTTGAACCGAAGATCTGCACCGTCTCGGAGTCCTCAGCCCTCCCACCACCTCAACTCCCGCTTACACCCCAAGGACTCATAAACTTTCCTCATCATCCCAGCTCTTCCCGCTTAGCAGCAGCCTCCCCACCGGCCCTGCAGGCACCAGTGCCGCCTCGGACAATCAGAGCACCCACCTGTGCCGTGATGCTGTGAGACTTCACTCACCCAGGCCCACTCCGACCTCTTCCAGAAAGGCGCGGTGTCGGTGCCGAGGCTGGGTCACAGCGCAGGCCTGGGCGTGGCCACGCCACCATCTTTGCGCATGCGCAACCAGAGTTGCCAGCACAGCATTATAAAAGGCGGGCCTCTGGCGCGCAGGGGTAGTTAGGTGGCGCTGCTCGGCCCGGCGGGGTCCCTGAGGCGGTCGTTACGAACCCTGGGGAGTTCCATTTGGCGGTAGCTCAATTTCAAGGCCTTTTCAAATGGGAGCTGAATATGTTCGGAACGCTTCGGAGAGAGAAGCTGATTTCGTTCAAGCTAGAATGTCACAGTAGAATGTGGACATGAGGAAAAACTCTTTCAAATTAGTCCAAAGGACTTTACAGTCACTAAAAGGACTTTACGATGAACTTCACCCTGGGAGTCCAGTGCTGAGCACAGGAGCGAAGCCCCTGCCAGCGTGTAGTTCGCACCCACGTCTTGGATTTTGTGTGTCAGTGGCTGTATTTACGTGGATTATCTCATTCATCGAATCCCCACACCTGGTGAATTTAGGTACCATTGGCCTCATTCGACAGAGAGGAAGCGATCTTGGTCATTTATTGAGGTCATAGCTTGAAGCCAGCAGAGCCTTTATTAAATTTCCCACAGCCCTCGGGATACACACTTGGGAGTCATCCCTTACCCGATGTAAAGTGCATTCTTAAACATCCTTCCCCCCAACCCCCGCCCCCGTCCCCCTTTCAATAACTGTGAGGCACGTGGTACACTCGTAATTGCAGAGGAAAAAACTGGGGTTCAAGAGAGGTAAAATTGTTTTCTTCCTAAAAGTTACTGAGTTAGTAAAGGGCAAAGAGCTAGGACTCCAATCCAGGTGTCTTTTATTTTTTTCTTTCCAAAATACCTACAGAAAACTTAGCTCCTGCTTCGGGACTATGACACTTCATGTTTCCTTTGCTTGGAAATCCAGCCCCTTCCCGATACTAACACAGACTCAGTTCCTCGTCTTTCAATGCTGTTTCCTCAAAGCATTCCCGGAACCTCCAGGATAAGATTGCAGCTCTACTTCTTCTCTCTGTCCTCTTTCTCCTGCTTTATTTTTCTCCACAACACAGCATCATTCCACATATCACTTGTTCGTTATTTACCAGTTGCACCCCGTACTAGAATCTGAATGCCCTGAGACCAGGTATTGTTGTCTCTTTTATTTGCTGCTGCATCCTCAGCAACTAGAACTGCCTGCCATATAAGTGCTCAGTAAATATTTTCAATGAATGGACGAAATAATTCCCCGACTGAAATTTCATCATAGGTGAGAGAGGTCTGTCGGTCTTCAGCTGATGGGATCTTTGACTAGGCTGTTCCACAACCTTACTTAGTAAAGCTGAAAAATAGACCCTTGATTGAGCCTGTGTTCTAGGAATGAAATAGAGCTTTTGCATGGTTGCATGACATTCTTGTTCATGTTTTTTACATAAAAGGATTTTTTTTTTTAACAAATAAGGATTTTTCTTAAGTTGGCAATGGGTTACATGAACTAGAGAACAGAGTGCACATTAAAGCATTTGTATGTTGCTTAAAACAAACTTTGCTCATTTCCCTGCTTTGTATAAGTTTGCCTAGTGACACAGTTGGGACAAATTCAATTCTTTGAACTTTGAGTCCAGTTTTTTTAGGTCATTGTCAGCCTTTGCAGTGAACTAAGGAATACTTTGGAAATTTTCATGCGAGTTTTAGAACAGTAGGCAGGAAGAGCTCACGAATACTTAGAGGTTATCTGCATAGGCAGTGATAATTTATTTTAGAGCATCCCAGAAAAGTACTTACTCTCTACTTAAAGATCTGCTACGACTGCTTCCCTCCTCATGACGTAGCTCACAGTTGAGCCTTTCTGTGAGACATGGGGCTGGGACGAAGACTCTCTGGCAATTGCAGACTATCTACTAGTATACAGCTTCTGTATTTATTAGGTAAATTTGAGTACTCTCTGTAGTGAGGTATTCATGAGCTATGCAAATTTTTGCAACCTTCTAGGTAACACGTAGCCCCCATAATGGGACATTCTATCAATGTGTAGTGAAGTTAATATTTCCTAACCCTGGACTAGTTCTGTGCACCAGCATACTGTAATTGTCCCCTTAGCCTTGTTATTTAGAAAGTACTGTGTCATTTAGTCATAAATTCTATAAAGATATATTTATTAAAAATCTGTAAGTTTTTAAAAATCTGCCCTCTAGAACCTAGCATCTGGCTGGGTGGACTCTTAAGGTATACAAAAAAAGCTAGAGGATGACAGCGGACAACATAAAAATAATATTTATTGGGTGCTCATTCTGTGCTAGGCGCTTTGCATGAATTGCCTCACCTCATCCTCATAACAACCCTATGAGCAAGGGTGCTGAATGAACTCTTACTGTCCCCACTTTTATAGCTGAGAAAACTGAGGCTTAGAGAAATGACTCAAGGTCACACTGCTAGTAAATGAATCTCAGCTTGTTTGATGTTAGTAGTGTAAGAATTATGTGCGTTATATTGAAAATGTGCAATTAAAAAGTATGCACATTATAAGGGTGCTAGAGAAAAACAAGCATTTTGGAAGACTGGGGGGTTGATTCTGAAAACTGGGTGGGATTTGGAGGTCTGGCTTTGTAATTGGGTGTATCAGGTGGCAGGAGAGTGGAATGAGAAGCCTCCCAAGTGAAGGAGGTAGCGTGCACAGAAGGGTGTGCATGAGACGACATCTGGGCCAGTGGAAAGGATGCGTGGAGAAGAATGCTTCCTCCTCATTTCCGCCCATTCTGAAGATTTCATTTCTGGTGTCAGGGTTTTGAAATAAAGGTTTGACAGTAATGAAGAGAAGGAGTTACTGGAGAAGGTGAGACTGGTAAGTAGAGAATAGAAGTGAGGACAGAGGAGGAAGGCTTGAGGGTGAAAAAGGAAGAACAAGCTTTATGGAATAAGAGATAATTAAAAGAATTGCAAAATCTTTCACAGTTTCAAAGACTCCAAATTACTTAACAGCACATTCTGTTAAGTTGATAGAGTCTTTTTATGCAGACTTTTTAGACCTCCTTTGGGTTTACTCTGGGAAGACAATTACCAAGAATATAAAGAATTCTTGCCTGAAATGGAGTCAGTTTATCTTCCTGTTTCAGGAAATCCCAGATGAAATTTGGCAAAGTGGGTCAAATTGCTTTTCTTCCCTTTGAAATAAAATCATTGAAGGTGCAGACAATTGGGGGGATCACCTCCTAAATTATACAAATGTTGAACCACTATGCTGTACACCTGAAACTAATATAAAATAATATCAAATTGTAATTTTAATATTCAATTAATATTCAATAAATACATACATTAAATAAATAAATAAATAAATAAAATAATTAGAATTTTACCTTTTTCCATAGCTGTGGACTGTCCATTTTGCTATGTAAAAATATTCTACACTCAAAATGTATCTGAAATGTTTTAAATTGGCCCTTGATGAGTTTTGACCACAGAGAATTTACAGCCAGAAACCTCTTTAGGCTCTTTTGTCAATAAATCAGCTATCAATCTAGGTCCAATCAGATAAAACTCTGCAATAGAGGAATCATTATCACAGCTGGTAGCTACATTCTTGGCGAGAGAACAGGCCATGCTGATACAACTATGCTCAACCCTCAAGATTTCCAGTGAGAATTTGCATATGCTTTTCCTTCTTGAGAGAGCAAATTAAAAACCTCCCTAGTTCTTCTAAAAGTCACTTGAGAAAGTTAAAATTGAAATCACACATGATACTTCTTGGGAATTGTTATATACAAAGTAAATATGTATACTTTTCTACTTCCCAAATATCAGTAATGTAAAGCTCACACACCCTTTTGTCTTATACTGACACCTTTCCAACTGTGTATAATTTATAAAGGGTTTTTTGTTTTTTGTTTAATTTTTTTTCAATTCATCTCCTTGATTTCCAGCAGCTTTAATTATGTTCACTAATCTCTCTATAACTCTTTGACTCAGGCTTTTCTTGAAGTAGGAATTTTCTCTTTCATAGCCTTCCTGCCTGCTTCTTTATTTTCTTCATGCTGTTTTTTTTTTTTTGCTCTTATAGTCCTTTAACAACTTTATCATTAGTCCACTATTGCGTAAGCAATTAAAAACCTCCTTAAATGTATATTTTATTTGGCAAACATTGTATTCTTCCATTCTCATCTTTTTGTAATGCTTTGCAACTGTGTTTATTGAAAACATTTCAAGGCTCTTTGCACCAGCCATTTTATCATCATTATTGTTTGCTATATCCATGCGCTTGAAAACTTTTATATAATTTTCTTTGAAAGAACAGGAGTTGCAGTTTTACTGCATTGCAACTTCTTTGTTTCAGGATCTAATAGTGTGTAAAAATATTGTTTGAAAAGGCTGTTGTGGTTTAATTTGGTTGGGACAGATAATTTTTTTTGAATCCATATCCTTCATTTATATAAGAACAGCATGAGAAAATGTCTTACCTAGCTTTTTTAACATTCATAGGAATACATTTCTTCTTCTTTTGTTAGAGCATCAGGTCTTATTTTCAAATTCGATTTTATTTTTCTCCTAAGTATCCTTTTGGTATTGCTTTTCAGTAAAGACTTTTAAAATAGAAAGCTGAGCACTGATGGTTTATTCTTACAAACCTTCTCCTCAAATATGGATACAAATGTCACTGTCAATGTAAGAATATTAAAAACTTTAGTTAAATATACACTTGGGATTTGGCTAATTTTTATAATCATGTTTTTCAGAGGTAAAACATGAATTCTTGAATATCTTTTTATATGGGTCTGCTTTTCTTGAACTCTGAAAAAAATGCAAATAGAAGAACATAGAAATAGACAGCAAATTAATTTTATTTAAGTTTTGAATGTATTTCACCAAGTCCAAATGTATATTGGGTTGCTTATTGGCTTGTTTATACATTCAAAAGTAATGTTTTAATTAGATTAAATGTGAGCCTCACTTTTTAATCAACCTAAAATATTTGCAGCCAGTGGAAATGTTATTAGTACTTGAAAAATTGGATAAAAGTTACTATTTTACAATTTTGTTGTTTGAAG